ATTTATAACAAATGATACAATTTTTGATTTATAACGCGCGCTCTGGTTGGCTGACGACCGTATTTATTTTAGAGAAGAAGAGACATGGCTTACTGGAAATATTTATTTTTTGCAGGAAAAATTGCAGAAAAAAAAATTATAAAAAACTTTATTAAAAAAACTATAAAACGGCCGCTTGTGTCTCTTTCCTCTGATATAAACACGTTGGGAGTTGAAAAACACTAGAGAAGCAAGAGAAACACTCGCTACGCTGGTGTTCCTAAGCTTGCTTCTCTCGTGTTTTTCTCTCGTGTTTATAGAGACAGAGACACGCGCGCCGTTTTATATTTCTTAATCAACATTTATGTCTGTTTTCATTTTTAATAGCATGTCAGTTTTCCGGGTTTTTTTTTCAATGTCACACTATGTTATGAGATCTTCTTSCAATGGCTTTTCTTGATAGGATAATCCTGAAAGAAATGAAATGGAAATCCATGGGTCATAGCCCACCAGAAATCAACAATATTTCATGTTCAACATCCATGCTAAAAATTGACAATTTTTCATGAACATCTATGAGCCCAGTAAAACAATGGAAAATCGCAGCATTGAAACGACTTGGTTCTATTCAGATAGAGTGCACGTCACATAAGCATGAAACAATTCTTAACATGTATTGCTAAATAAGATTTAGTTATCAACTATCTAAGAATTCAACAAAGCATAAACACAATGCCAATTATTTAAATTCCTTTKTAGCATTGTTCTCAATTCTTAGTTGGTTGATAACTAAATCTTATTTAGCACTAAATAGTTAAGAATTGTTTCATGCTTATGTGACTTGCACTCTAAAGTGAGTGATTTACATGTACTTACTCTTAGAAAGCCATCTAGGACAATGGACGACGTTTCTCTTCATCAACTGCCTTTCGTATGTGTGAAATATCATCCAAGGTTGAACGGCAACAAGCACCTATGAGCAATACTCATTTATTGAGATGTAGTTTTGTTGTGAAATATTTTATATCATACTCAGTCTTAAGAAACGATTCTTCATGTCATACTCAGCCTCAACCAACAATTCTTCATATCATACTCAGCCTAAAGCAACAATTCTTCATATCATTTTCTATCGCTAGCAATAATATTGCTTGATATTTACCGATCCACTTTGCTCCTTCAGCAATCCAATGAGGAACCAAGTCAGCAATATTCAAGAAATCACCACTACTTTGCCAGCTTAAATAAACGATATTAAAAAGAACTTAAAGTGCTTATAACCCTAAAATGATACAAATTTGGATCGATTTTCGGGAGTCTAAGGGTTAAAATAAGGTGTTTTATAATGCGATCGGATAAAACGGGGCAGAGATATTTAATCTTGAAGATTGGTATCAGGGCTTCCTGTGCCAAATAGGAAGTGCAAAAAATCCCTGGTACGAATAGTGTTTGGTGACTTCAAGAGAGGTTGTGAGGGATGCGCAATAAATTTATAATCTGGGACTCCTGTTTATCAACTTTAGGTTTTTTGCTAGATGATTGCTAGCTCATATTGTATATTTCAAGATATCTTTTACAACGGTCTTTCGCTGTTCGGTGGAGGGTTATAATCACGATGACCACACCTGTTATTTTTCCATTCCTCTCCACTATTAGGGTATGCCACTAGTGGTAGATATATCTCTTTATCATGAAGACTTTTCAGCAGGGACTGGAAATAGAGACTGGAGATTAAAATATGTCAATCATCAAGCTATAAGTTTATTGCTCAGGCTGGACGACATGTATCAAAGGCAAATAATAGATATCCTTGTCGTCACATTTCAAACCTCTTGAGAACATGATTCTTAGTTTTAAGCAGCCTACGGGCCTTATTTTTGGTGGTTGTGTTAAAATATTTTTAATAATTAAACAGTGACCATGAAAAGAATTAAAAACTGACACTGATGTCTGAGAATGTTGTTCTTCACTGGAATAAATTTAAAGGGAAAAAGCTACCAAGAGGAAGTGTTTTCCAGTCAAAAACCAGTTAACAACTGAAGGTTCAAAATTAAAACAACAAGACTTTAATAACCACACCAATATTAACACACAGCTCTTACCGTAACATACTTTGGAGAACAGCAGTTAACGCCAACAGCAACTATCTACAAAAACATTATTTATAGAAAAAGTCAATTGCCTGGTTTGCAATCAATAACTAAGTATTAGTGAGCAGGGATC